AAATTAAAACTTAGGCAGCAGTTTAATTAAGGAATTTAGGGTAACTACATAATCTCCTCTCTCCTCCCTCCCTTTTCTATGTGATCTCAATTAAAATGATGTCTCAAGTTTATGTGTTTAGTGCGTAAGTGAAGTATTAGAGATGTTTATCGCACTAATTTCCAGTAACAATGTGAGTTTTTATTTTCATTTTTTTGCATATGTAGAATATATATGTTGATTCCATCCTAAATTTTTTTTTGGGACTTTTACACTAAGACCCCTTGTGTTTCGATTCCTGGCTCCGCCACTGATGGTAGCTAATGCGTGGTCTCTTGTAGCACCCAGGACCAATTCTTTCTTCTTATTCTTAATCTTATTAGTTTAATAGAAGCAAATGCATTTGGGTAGTTTTCAATCATATCAATGGTAGTTAGTTTGTCCCAGCCTTTGTTTTTCTACGCGGGCGGCAACGACCAAGCAGCTATAGAATTTCTTTCGTTTTTAGCAGCTTCGTTATGAGCAGGAGATCAATTATTTTAATGTTTTCTTGGACAAAGATGAGTTATGTCACAAATACTATATTTATGTAAGATATTGTGTATCCGTCGATACGTCTGGTTGTGCAATTATGATATCTCATTTTTTTTTCTAAATCAAACAAAATAGTCTAGTGGACCAAGTCGAACACATCGTGACATACATTATATCATATCATATACACATCTAAGTGTTTGACCTTCCAGACTAAACGTCACAAATTCATACAAGTTGTAACCTTCCTTTTTATAAATGCAACTGTCTTTGCTTCTCTGGGGATCACAATAATTGGCAAAAGCTCTGTAGCACCGTTATGTGATCAATCATGGACGCCTATATGGTTTTTTTGTTTCTTTTGTTGACACTATTTTCTCAATTAGGATCATCATCATCCTATAGTACAATGAGCATGGGCTCATCTCTCTCTGTGGAAAATCCAGCTGATATTTTGATCTCACCAAATGGCATGTTTTCAGCTGGGTTTTTTCAAGTAGGTGAAAATGCATATTGCTTTGCAATATGGTTCACAGAGCCATCCCCAACTCACAACCTCACCGTGGTTTGGATGGCAAACCGTGATGAGCCAGTCAACGGTAGGAGCTCCAAGCTCACCCTCCAAAAAAAAGGAAATCTTATTCTCACAGATGCTGGCAAATCCACCATCTGGTCCTCCAACACTGTTTCAGCTTCATTAGCCCGATTGCGTCTCAACGACACTGGCAATCTTGTTCTACTCACTGTCAAGGGTGTTACTATGTGGGAAAGCTTTGCTTCACCAACAGACACCCTTCTACCTCACCAACCACTTACAAGGAACACCAAGCTTCTCTCTTCAAGAAGCCTCACCAACTATTCCTCTGGCTTCTACTCACTTTTTTTCGACAATGACAACACTCTCCGCCTTCTCTACGATGGCCCCGAGGTTTCAAGTATTTACTGGCCTGATCCTTGGCTTCTAAGTATCGTAGCTGGGAGGTCCACTTACAACAACAGTAGAATTGCCAAGTTTGATAACTTGGGCAATTTTAGTGCATCCGATGATTTCACCATTTTGTCATCGGATTATGGTGCAAAGCGGCAGAGAATAGTGAAGATGGATGCTGATGGTAATGTTCGAATGTACAGTCGAAAGCAGCCGGGAGATACTTGGGTTGTTACATGGGAAGCAGTTTTGCAACCATGCAAAATTCATGGAATTTGTGGGGCTAATAGTTGGTGCAACTATGTTCCTAGTTTTGGTAGGAAATGCTCATGCGTTCCAGGCTATGTGATTAGAAATAAAAATGATTGGATTTATGGTTGTCAACCAGAATTTAATCTGTCCCACAACAATAGTATTGCTGCTCGTGATCAGTTTGATTTTATGTTCATTCCTCGCGTTGAGATGTATGGGTTCGATTTTGGGATCTTTTATAATTACACCTGGGAAAAGTGCAAAAATTTCTGCCTGGATTTAGGAAACTGTACAGGGTTCCACTTCAAATATGACTCAGGTGGTGGTGGTTTTTATAATTGCTTCCCAAAGATGCAATTACGAAATGGATACCGTTCGCCTGGTTTTGTTGGAGACCTGTATGTGAAACTACCCAAATCAATCCTTTCTTCCTATAATGTCACTGAAGCTGAAGAATCCAACAATATTTGCTCAGACAAACTTGCAAGAGAGCTGGACAGAATATACCAAAAAGGCAACACAAATCAGTCTGTCAAGTTTATGCTGGAATTCGCATCTGGGCTAGGAGCACTTGAGGTTGTTTGTGTCTTTCTTGTTTGGTTTTTTCTGACCAGAAGAAACGGTGGAGATCAATTAAATTCAGATGATGTGGTCACACAAGGCTACCTTCATGCTGCCACTGGATTCAGAAGATTTAGTTACTCTGAGTTGAAAAAGGCCACAAGAGGTTTCAAAGAAGAGATTGGAAGGGGAGGGGGAGGAATCGTGTACAAAGGCGTATTGTCTGATCAACGAATCGCGGCAATCAAGCAATTGAATGGTGCTAACCAAGGGGAAGCAGAGTTCCTTGCAGAGGTGAGCCTTATTGGGAAGCTGTACCACATGAACTTAATTGAGATGTGGGGATATTGTATGGAAGGAAAGCATAGGCTTTTGGTGTATGAGTACATGGAGCATGGTTCCTTGGCAGAGAAGTTATCTTCCAATGTGCTTGATTGGAAGACAAGGTTTGAAATTGCAGTGGGCACAGCAAAGGGACTAGCTTATTTACATGAAGAATGTTTGGAATGGGTTTTGCATTGTGATGTGAAGCCTCAGAACATACTCTTGGACTCTAATTACAAACCAAAAGTGGCTGATTTTGGATTGTCCAAGCTACTAAACAGAAGTGAGTTTAGCAACTCAAACTTCTCAAGAATAAGAGGAACTAGAGGTTACATGGCTCCAGAGTGGGTTCACAATATGCCCATCACCTCCAAAGTGGATGTATACAGCTATGGGATTGTTGTGTTGGAATTGCTCACTGGAAAAAGCACAGCGGAAAGTGTTCATGGAGTAGAAGGTGGAGGTGACACACAGAAAAGGATGCTGGCTACATGGGTGAGGGAGAAAATGAATGAAGCATTTGCAGATGCAAAGAGCCCAATAGGAGCTGAATATGAAAAGGGTGAGCTGGAAATTCTTGTAAAAGTTGCTCTTCAATGTATAGAGGAAGACAAAGATGCAAGACCCACCATGAGCCAAGTGGTTCAGATGCTTCTTCATCATGAAAACAATTTATTGTAATTATTAAGGGTGACTTGTTCATAATATTGGTTTGATTTCTTCTTCTGCTCAGATCACTCTGACCAGCTGACTGTGATGTTGGTAATAATACATGTATATATATATCTTGATTTCTTCTTTCTGCCCAAATCTATAAAATTTGCATTATTGAAGTATGATAATCTATAAGCTCTGTGTTCTGGTATAGAACGAATAACCTCATTCTCCTTGCCTAAATTTTACATGCAGATGCCTAAGAATATGCATCAACCTGTAATTCAAACAGTAAAATGGAGGGCTGTTTGTCACTTTCGTTAAAACTTTTAATTGACACAGTATACTATTGGGGATCAATGAACCTTGAAAGAATTGGAAATTAACATTAAATTTTCATAAACCCACACATATCAAATGTGTGAACAAGTTTAGATCCCCCTCTTCCTTGGCTCAGACTATAATGAGGGGTAAGTTATAAGGGGTTCACTTTATAGCCATCAGATCGATCCCATGTAAGGCATGTAAGACCCTCTTCCTTTGCCCTCTTCTAAAAGACATGTAAAGCCCATCTCCCTCACCATAAAACGACATAGAACGACTCTATTCACAATAAACGCACAATAAGTTCATGGGCCTTTGTAAACTTCCAATTAGACCACTCTACAAATAAATATTAAAGTTCTTAACCCACAATTAGTTTGGTTGGATTTGATTTAGCATATTTGGAAATCGTTTAAATAAACCAAATCACTAATATTAATTTCATTATTTTTTACACTTTGACATATTTTTTTATTCGTTATCACCTATATTAACGCGTGACATAATCAACTATTTAATACCAAAAACCAAAATTCCTAAACCATTCGAATTTGACTATAAAGTCAGAATGAAGTATTGTTCAATTTGCAGTATCAACTTTGGTTTGATATATGTAAGAGAAGATAAATATTTGGTTAATTGCTTGCTATAAAGATAAAATAGTTTCGTTTGATTATGCTACTATATAATTTGAGGTCTAAACCCAAATAATCTGAACCATTATGTTTTTCATTATTTCAATTTGTGATTTGAGCCCACCCTTCTGTTGTTTGATGAAGAGTCAAAGATACTGCTCAATATATTAATATTTCAGAGGCGCCATTTAAAAGCAGCTTCCCACTGCTTGCCTCCTCATTATTTCCACTACTTGGAAGAACAAAAGTCTGACGGCTACAAAATCACGTGTTTTCTTATTTCATGCATGAATAATTATTCTTTTCTTTTCTTTTTTTAATTCATTTCAACTATAGAGGAAGGAAACCTAAGTGCCATGGCCCATGAGGGGCCACTGGTGTTCAATCCCAAGTGCGATGAGGGAAGGGGGAATCCACACACGGCTGTGGTGTGGACCCATTGGCGCAATTTGCATAATCTTTAATCCAAGGCAGATGCTTAAATATTCTCCCCAACGACAACATTTCAACGGCGGCTGCCATTGCAACAACCCGGAGGGGGAATCCACACGGCTGTGGTGTGGACCCATTGGCGCAATTTGCATAATCTTTAATCCAAGGCAGATGCTTAAATATTCTCCCCAACGACAACATTTCAACGGCGGCTGCCATTGCAACAACCCGGAACACACGAATGGTCAAAGGACTACAAATTAAACCAAAAGCCTTTATATAGTTCAAGCGCCTTCATGCAAGTTGCAACCTTATACTTTTATATGCAAAATCTTTTGCTTCTTTGGGATTAGACTACATTCATTTGCTAATTACCTTTTTTTATTTCAATTAAACTCATGGCTGCTACATTTTTGTGCCTTGCTCTTCTTTTTCTGTCACAGTTTTCTCTACTGGCATCATCAGCATCCAACAATTTGAAACTGGGCTCATCTCTGTCAGTGGAAAATGAAGCTGATACCTTGATCTCACCAAATGGTCTATTTTCAGCCGGATTTTTTCCGGTAGGCGAAAATGCCTATTGCTTTGGAATATGGTACACAGAGCCAGCCGCCCCAGCTCAAAACCTCACCGTGGTTTGGATAGCAAATCGTGACAAGCCAGTCAACGGTAAGAGCTCCAAGCTCACCCCTCAAGGAAATGGTAATCTTATTCTAACCGATGCTGGGAAATATACCATTTGGTCTTCCAACACTGTTTCAAATTCGTTAGACCGATTAAGTCTCAACGACAATGGCAATCTTGTTCTGCTAACTCTCAAGGGTGTTGCTTTGTGGGAAAGCTTTGCTTCACCAACAGATACCCTTTTGCCTCAACAACGACTTACTTGGAACACAAAGCTTGTCTCCTCAAGAAGCCTCACCAACTATTCATCTGGATTTTACTCGCTTTTTTTCGACAATGACAACACTCTTCGCCTTCTCTACGATGGCCCTGAGGTCTCAAGCATTTACTGGTATGACCCTTGGCTTCTAAGTTTGCAAGCTAGAAGGACACCATACAACAACACTAGAGTTGCAGTTTTAGATGCCATGGGAAACTTTAGTGCATCAGATGGTCTTATTGTTATTGCAGCGGATTATGGCACGAATTTGCAGAGAAGATTGAAGGCAGATGTTGATGGTAATCTTCGATTGTACAGTCGAAAACAGGCCGGAGATACTTGGGTTGTTTCATGGCAAGCCATTCAACAACCGTGCAAAATTCATGGCATTTGTGGGCCTAATGGTTTGTGCAGCTATGATCCTAGTTCTGGCAGAAAATGCTCATGCCTTCCAGGCTATGAGATGAGAAACAAATTTGATTGGGCTTATGGATGTCAACCTGCAACTGATGGTTTGAATTTGTCCTGCAAAAGTAGGGATCGTGATCAGTTTGATTTTATGTACCTTCCAAGGGTTGAATATTACGGATATGATTACTCGATCTTTGTTAATACAACCTTAGAAAAGTGCAAAGCTTTATACTTGGAGTTGTGCAACTGTCCAGGTTTTCACTACAAGTTTGGTGGTGGTCATCATAATTGTTATCCCAAGACCCAATTTCGAAATGGATACCGTGCCCCGGGCTTTGAAGGAGAGCTGTATCTGAAACTGCCCAAATCAATCCTTTCTTCCTATAATGCTGCCACAAAAGAATCCAATATGTGCTCAAGCAAGCTCACAAGCCAGCTTGACAGAACATATGAAAAAGGCAAACAAAATGGTTCTGTCAAGTTTATGGTGAAATTTGCATCTGGGCTGGGAGGATTTGAGATTGTTTGTATCTTTGTTGTGTGGTACTTTGTGGCTCGAAGCAGCAAAGAGAAAGAAGATTCAGATGTAGTTACACAAGGCTACCTTCAAGCTGCCACTGGATTCCGAAGATTCAGTTACTCTGAGTTGAAAAAGGCCACAAGAGGTTTCAAAGAAGAGATTGGCAGGGGAGGGGGAGGAATTGTGTACAAAGGCGTATTGTCTGATCAACGAATCGCGGCAATCAAGCAATTGAATGGTGCTAACCAAGGGGAAGCAGAGTTCCTTGCAGAGGTGAGCCTTATTGGGAAGCTGTACCACATGAACTTAATTGAGATGTGGGGATATTGTGCGGAAGGAAAGCATAGGCTTTTGGTGTATGAGTACATGGAGCATGGTTCCTTGGCGGAGAAGTTATCTTCCGAGGTGCTTGATTTGAAGACAAAGTTTGAAATTGCAGTGGGCACAGCAAAAGGACTAGCTTATTTACATGAAGAATGTTTGGAATGGGTTTTGCATTGTGATGTGAAGCCTCAGAACATACTCTTGGACTCTAATTACAACCCAAAAGTGGCTGATTTTGGTTTGTCCAAGCTACTGAACAGAAGTGAGGTTAGCAACTCAAACTTCTCAAAAATAAGAGGAACCAGAGGTTACATGGCACCAGAGTGGGTTCACAACATGCCCATCACTTCCAAAGTGGATGTTTACAGCTATGGGATTGTTGTGCTGGAAATGCTGACTGGAAAGAGCCCAGCAGAAAGTGTTCAAGCAATAGAAAGTGGAGGGGAGACCCAGAAAAAGATGATGGTTACATGGGTGAAGGAGAAGATGCATGGTGCATTTACAAAGACAGAGAGCCAGATGGGAGCAGATTATGAACAGGGTAGACTTGAAATGCTTGTTGAAGTGGCTCTTCAATGCTTAGAGGAAGACAGAGATGCAAGACCTACCATGAGTCAAGTAGTTGAGATGCTTCTGCATCATGAAAATAATTGATTGGAAAGGTGACATGTTTATAATATATGATGGGATGTCTGTATGGTCTTGATTTTTCTTATATCAAAATTTGCATTAGCAGGGAATGAATGTCGAATTTCTCAAAGCCTATCAGAGCAAGTGTGACATTTATGGTGTATTCAATTTAGATTTCAAAATATTTTTAAAAAGTTTAAAAGTTTAAGTATATTTAATCATAATTTTATAAAAGTCTATACGATTCTGGATGTATTCAATTCAAACTTTTTAAACTTCATTCAAATTTGATATATTCAATCACGACTTTAAAAAACTTCATAAAACTTTGGGTGTATTCAAAAACTCATTCATTTTAAAGGAAATACAAAAAGTGGTGGATTTCGTTTGATTATAGACTAATTTTAGGTCGTGACAAATTTTTACTTCCCCGAGAGATTTTGATAGATATATTGTGTTTATTCTCAAAATATGATTTCATCACTTGTACTACCACCATCTTATCATGGCTATCTCCACCGCCACCACCACAGTTATTGTCGTCACTGCCACCATCACTGCCATTGCCATCACCCCCAACATCACCACCTCCTCCACCGCCACCACCCATTGCCACCCCCACTACCAGCCCCACCATTACCACAACCAACGCCAACACCATCACCATCCACAACTACCACCTCCACCACCCTTACTCTAACCGTCACCCCCACTGTCACCACCACCATAGCCACCGTCGCCACCGCCTCCACCACCACCTCACTCTCATTGCCAACACCACGACCACCCCCACCATCATCCACAAACCACCATCACCACCACCTCCACCGTCATCACCCTTAAACTCTTTGTGTTTTGAGTGCTATAAACTCCATTAAAATCAATAATGAAACTCTAAGAAACTCAGTTTAAATCTATACACAAATTGAGTCAAAATCTATGTGGAGTTAATAAAATTCAGTCAAACTCGATTAAATTCAATTAAACTCCATCAACTTTATAACCCCTTTAAAATCATTTAACAATTAAATTCAATTAAAATCATTTATCAGCTCAAATCTCTTAACAATATAGAATACGTCAATGGTGTGACAAATTGTATTTATAGTCGACATACCCACCTAGCCCAGTGGCTGAGAATTCCCCTTGTGATTCAAATCCAAATCAACAAGATTTGAAAACAAGATGACCAGACTGGGCCATAGCCAATTAAACCGTTGACAACTGCGTTTACTTGAGCTGTCACCATTTCATCTCCATAACACTACAAAGACTTCACAGCTTTGAATTTTCTTTCAATTAAGATTATTATTATTTCTTCAATTTTCCCATTTTTAATTAGAAATTAAATTTTCCAATTGAAGCGAAACAAGATTCCCAGATAGCCCAATTTCCATCCACCCAGTTGGCCTCCATTTTATCATATGAGAAAAGCCCCATCATAATCCGCAGTTCGTCCCTCTGTACACTACCAAAATTATTTTCACTACAATTTAAAAAGGCCCCAAATAAAAAAAGGAAATTGACGGAAATTTAATTAACAGAGTTCATGCTGCTTTTGGGCTAATTCCAAGCTTTTGGTTCCGGGTCGGACTCTGGATCATCTCGATGATCTCTTACTAGGACTACTACGTCATTCTATTCGGTTCCTGCCGCTACTCGATTTTGCTAATCCCAATACGCTTTACGACGGCGTTTCTAATGGCTTCGGTGTGCATGCACAGCCCCGTCTGCTCAACCCCAGACATGTAGTTCCTCACTTCCTTTCTGATCATCTCCTGCATCACATCCAAGAATTCTGAGCTGAAGAACTGCTGATCGTACCCCATCTCACTGTTTTGGTTGCTCTGACGTGTCAGCTGGGCTCCCGCCGCGGCGGCTGCTGCCTCTTGCGGTTGTTGTACCATCGAGGTCGGGCTCACCCCCGGGTTCGATCCGAACCCGGACGTCAAGTGATTCGACCCGTCACTCGAGTCGGATCCGGGCAGCGAGAGGCTGAGCGAGGTCGGCGGATCGACAGCCGAAGACGAGGCCTCCATCGGCGGAGCAATGAGGGGTCCGCTTCTCACAAGCGGCCTGAAAACTTGAGTCGGCGACACAATACCGGGCAGACTCGAATCGCTCATATCTGATCCGGACGGGCTACCCGGGTTCAAATAAAGACCCGAAACAGCCGTAACCGCACCGACACTGGCGGATCGTTTGTGAGCCGGATGGGAATGGACGTCCGGGGTCAAATCTTCGGACATGGATGAGCATTTGCGCTTGAGCGTGGAGTTCCAGTGGTTCTTTATGGCGTTATCGGTGCGACCATTGAGCAAGCGAGCGATGGTGGCCCACTTGTTCCCGAACCGGGCGTGGGCCCGGATTATAGTATCGTCCTCATCAGGACTGAAAGGGCGGTGCTCCACCTCCGGAGAGAGCTGGTTGCACCACCGTAGACGGCAAGACTTGCCAGATCGACCAGGGATCGATTTGCTGATCAGAGACCAGTTTCTGGGGCCGTAGTTCTTCACCAGTTTCTGTAACGCTTCGTCTTCTTCGGGGCTCCACGGACCCTTTATCCGATCCGCTACTTTCTTTGTGGAAGCCATAGAAAGTCCTTAACCTTCTTCTTCTTCTTCTTCTTCTTCTTCTTCTAAATTATTTAAGCTAAAAAAATGAAAACAAATCTAAGAAAAATAATAAAAAGGATAATTTAATTTCAGTTGAAAGTTTTGTACAAGAGAGAGAGAAGGGTTTAAGGAGGTGGTGGAGGCGGAGCCTCACCTTGTTCTGAGAGAGAAGGGCGTGTTACAGGTAGGGTATATATACGAAAGGATAGAGGTGACCGATTATAGCCGGTGCGAATGACCGGTCTTAGCCGTTGCGCGTGGGGATTCTTCCAGGCAAGGCAGTTACTAGCACACAGCTGTCAAACTAACACGCGTCGCTTCCTACCCCCTCCAACTTACACGTAGAAAATATAATCACACCATCTGTTTTCGCTTTATTTATTTATTTGGATTATTTTTAAAATAAGAAAAACAAACAAACAAAAAAGTGAAACCCAAAATCAGCTTTGCCTAATTGCCTACTCTCCCCGCCTACTGTTCTAACTATTTCTTTTCCACACACAAGAATCTTGTAAAGTCATCTCGAAGCTGAACAAGAGGCTCCTAGACGATGATGATGATCAAAGGTAGGCCCACATCCTCAAGTTGAATGCATCTTGACTAGCCTCAATCATCAACGTCCATTTCATTTTATTTTATTTTCCGTATAATTTCTTGTTAATTTGAATATTTACCGTTTAACAATATTCATTAAATTCAGTAACTATAACTGAGAAGTGAGAGGTAAAAACCGTAACAGTAAACAGTTGAATGGCTGGGTTCCCCACCACGTCTCTAAAACCGCGGGATTTAAATGTTGAATGACCGTTTTGGAAGTTAAACGGTGATTGGGGAGCGGACGTTAACTTATTATTTTTTTCTTAAATGCTTAATTTGGAAACAAACGTGGGGTTTAAGATAAAGAGAGTGATCTTATCGGAAATTTTTTAATTTTTTGATAATTAAAATTAAGATTAAAGCTTAATCAAAAGAAGAGTACGGTTCGGTTTAGTTGGGAGGTGGGGCTGGAATTGGACGGGAGCGTAAGCGGATGGATTACTTTGACCAAAAGCCAGGCTGGCGAGCATTTTGGCGGAGAGGGGGGGGATATTTTTTTAATGGGAATGGGAAACGGACGCACGGAAGTGTCGAGCTGGATCACAAAACGACAAAGTTGAGTAGCAGAATCGGGGGAGGAACGGTACTGAAATTCTGTCAGTCCAGCCTGTAAAACCCGGGCCCACTCTCCAGTGGACAGTGGCCCCTCCCCACCCCTAACTGCCTATTTCTCCCACCGACACGTGTCAGTCACGCTCCCCGGAACTGCCAAAACCGACTCCACCGTCTAACCAGCTTAATTTATTGCTATGTTGTTTGCTCCCTTCCTGGTTGCTTCGTCCGTTTGGACTTTGTTATATTTCTCTGGAAATTAAATTTGGATCTGGTGGAGGTCGTCTTAGGAATATTATAGTAACGTGTTACAACTTACAACCAATCTCATCATTAATAGAAATGTAATCTTCTATATATAAATTAATGCCTCAACAACAAGATAATCTTGTGTGACGTATTATAGGTAGTCTATATTTTCATTTAACTATAAACAAGCAATATGTTAGTTGTCACTAACCTACTATCTACAAAAGAATTGAATTTAGGTACATTGGATTGTTGAAGCGGTTATTTGGATAAACTTTTCAATATGATCGTAACACTGTTATATTATACTTTAAAGTAGTAATGCTTCTTCAATTATTCTATTTTACCCTCTTAATCTTAAATTTGATGTTTAGGCCTTTTAATATTTCAGAATGTGTCAACGTGTTTGAAGATGGTTAGCCCCCGTCACCGCCCCTATTCTCGATAAAAAATAATTTCTAGGAATCCTCATCATTGTTTTCTTCAGAGGACTTCCTCCCAAACCCATTCTGAATATTCGAATTTTTTTTATAAAAAATTATTTATCCTACACTATTACACTTAAATTTCATCTTAGATTATCATTCAACTCAATTACATTCAATTGAATAATAAAATTCAACTGAACAACTCAAAATAATCTCTATTTAATTTGACAACACTAAAAAATATATATATATATATTATATCATGGCTATATATTAGTTAAAAATAAATACAAATTGTAATGTAAATATTAGCCAAATTATTAGTTGCGTGTAAGGGACATGAAGGCAGGAGCGTGGAAGTGAATTTGGGAAAAGAGAAACAGAAAAAACGGAAAAGCAAAGAGAGGAAAGCAACAAAAACAAGAAAGTAAAGAAAAAGAGGGAGGGGGGGAGGAGGGTGACTAGTCCCCTATCTTCAACAGTGTCTCTCAACTTCAACATGCAAAATTCGTTTCGCGGGAAACAGCTGTCTATAATTTTTTTATCAACGTATGCACGCACACTGTTACGGTTACCCACGCTCTCTCACGTGCCAACCCGCCCGGTCTTTTCCTACGTACCTAACCCCGTCCTTTACCCGTACTCCTCACGTGAGCTCGTCTGCCACACGAGTGCACCGCACGTGAGGACCGCACCTCCACACCCCAAGGCCACCACTTGATGAATATAAAAGTCCAAAGTAACGGTCAAGTCCTCACCTGCCCAAGGTAGTGATGGCCGCCTAGTGTTGGAGGAGCCACTAATTTATAATGCAAATTGCAATGTGAATGCGTTTTGTTAATTGAACGTCCGTCGTTTTATAGTTAGCCAAGGGCCCAAAGCGCGTGCCTCGCTTAAGTAGTGGATTTTGATTTGCTGCTGTTTTTTCTTTATTTTTTTAAAAGACAAGTTGGCAACAAAATATCCCAATTAAAATCATAATAATAACGAGGGATATTGTTTAATTAATTTTGGTATGCTTATACATGCGATCCATGTGATTTGTTAATTAAGGTTGGAATTAAGTTTTCAGACCAAAAAAAAAAAAGGGTTGGAATTAAGTTATGGGTACGAATATTATTCCAGAATGTGGGGGCACTGCACTGGTGGATAGATATACATATATAATTTGCATAGCTTTTTTGCAACACCATATGCTTTGGATTCTTTACAAGCAAATACCTTCTCCATTGGGTTTAATATCCGCGGAACAATTGTACTCGTCTTTTAGGTTTGAACTGCAACTAGACTCGGTTCAATGTTTTTGGCTCTGAAAATGAGAGGTTCGGTCTTCTTTCTCTTTTAGGCAGAAAAAAAAGAAAGTTGAGTCTTATAATAATAGTCAAAGAGTACGTGATCCAAAAATAACATGTCATAGAATAGAAAGACCAGCTACATATGTACATGTCGTCGTACCAGTTTATATAACAGCGATTTCGAATCACAACATGTTTATTTTTGCTGTACCCATATGTTAGAGCATACGGATCTTTAACTGTACATTTTGGAAGAACACATTGTTTTTTATTGATTAACCTCCTTCCATGATATAGTTATTTGGGTTAATTCGATCTTCTCCACTATTTTCATATATGTACGTACAGTCGTCACATCAAGTTGATGGATATTATATCCCACTTGTGTTTTTAGGCGTTGGATGGTTTTGGATTTTTGGTGTTTGGCCTTGAGCAAGCTCACATGTATTGTCTCTTAATGTGTTGGATGCCATTTTTAAGCAGCGATTCAAGGGCAGACTCATTTTTTCTGTTATGTCCTCACCATTGTATTTGTAGCACTCATATTTGTCTAACAATCCAACGGCTGGATCTTCCACAAGTGCCTCTCTCTATGTACGAATTGGATCCGTCGGCGGTGATAGGGTTGTATTAATTTGCGGGATATAAACAACTTGTACGTGGTGAGAAAAGTAACGCATGCACTGTGAACTTCAGGGTCGTCTTCGATAAACATAAACCCTAACAAATGATGTAGAACGCTCGTCGCTCCTTAGGTTCCTTTGCTTTGATGGTTAATTGCTATATCCAGGCCCTTGTAGTTGTAGAGCTGGATTTTGTCACAAATTAATGATTTCGCCTGAGTAGCTAAGTCCACATAAAGTTTTGTTCGATGGAAACAAGTGCATGGGCCTAGTCATGCTTCACCTCAAATGAGCCCACACATCCAGGAGAAGTTTTTTTTGGCTGGGCCAAAGCCCGACCCAAATGGGGTCACACCCAGACCCAGCAAGCGAAGAAGGGATAAATGTTCCTAAATGCTGCTAAGTTGTCATTCAACAGTGTTACCATTACGCTTCGGGCACTTCCAGTAGTGAGAATGTTGCCATGGCAAGAGGGGGCTAAGGCTGACACTATTCACGGAAATAGTGTATGCCCTTGCAAAAAGTAAGTTGCACTTCCAGCAATTGTCATGGCAAGGGGGGTACTATTCAATTTTTTATTTTATTTTTCACAAATTTGTTTACCTAAACAATTAATTTGGACAATATTTTCGGATGAGATTTTCTGATAAAATATTCGGATAAGATTTTCATATAAGATTTTCGGTTTCAAATTTCAGATAAATTTCAAATTTTCAATTTCATCTGAATTTCAAATTTCAGATAAATTTCATTTGAATTTCAACTTTTCATTTGAATTTTAATTTTAGATAAATTTCATCTGAATTTCAAATTTCAGATAAATTTCATTTGAATTTCAACTTTTCATTGGAATTTTAATTTTAGATAAATTTCATCTGAATTTCAATTTCAGATAAATTTCATCCGAGTTTCAAATTTCGGATAAGATTTTCACCCTATAAAATTGCGCAACGTGTTATATGAATTTCAAATTTCAGATAAATTTCATTTGAATTTCAACTTTTCATTTGAATTTCACATTTCATATACATTTCATTTGAATTCCAAATTTCGGATAAGATTTTCATCCTATCAACTTGCGCCACATGTCATGTCTATCGACCTAAATTTTTCTATAAAACAAAGGCTCAGCTCACAAACCTCTCACACTACATCTTCTTAAAAATTTCATTTCTCAGATTTTAGATTTCATATTTCATCTTCCATTCACAATGTCAGACATGGAGGAGGTCTTGGAGAGGCAAGAGCGAGAAATAAGAGAAAGAAGGCGTAGACGAGCTGCAAGCAAAAAAGCGCAGAGAGATCTAGATCAACAACTTGTCATGGCTGTGGCCATACTTCATGAAGAAAACCAAAGTAGTCGTGGTTCACATGAAGGCCGTGCCCCAAATGTTGACAGACATAGGCATTCTCGGGGTAAGAATCTTATGAAAGATTATTTTATCCCAACATCTCTGTACTCTGATGTTCATTTTCGAGGGAGGTATAGAATGCAACAACATTTGTTCAATAAAATCATGCATGATATTTGCAATTATGATGAATACTTTGTTCAAAAGAGAAATTGTGCTGGTGTTTTGGGAATGCTTCCAGAACAAAAGTTTACAACTGTTATACGAATGTTGGCATATAGTGTATTTGCTGATCAGGTGGATGAGATTGCCCGGATGGGGAAGTCCACTGCTTGGGAGAGTTTGGTTAGATTTTGTGATGCAGTCGAAACTCTGTACACCAGGGACTACCTGCGCCGATCCACGCCCAGAGACCTGCAACGACTTCTGCAGAAAGCCGAACGGAGAGGATTTCCAGGAATGATTGGTAGCATCGA